GGATAATTACCAGTATACTTTACAAACATGCTGTATACTTTCAAACGTTTCACAGGCCACAAGCAATCTTGCGGAAGAAGCTAGTATGGCGTCGCTGCCTGCGACGCAGGTCTCGCGTGGACGCCCTCAAGGTTACTACAGACAGCAGTTTGCAGAAACCGGTATGACGGGGTCGGGTGAAAGGCGTCTCCTCGTGTGCATTCACTGCCGTGCAGCGTACAATGACACACGCAGAGTCGATCGACCTGCAGTACCGACATTCGTTGCAGCACGCTCAAGCAATTACCCCAGTCACCTGAAAAAGTGCAAATTCTATAAAGAAGCCCTTGCCTCGGGGAAAAGTAGACCCCCTCCTCCAGAGCAACCAACTCTTCCGAGCCTTTTCCAGCTTCAGCAAGCTTCCTCCGCCTACTCAGCTGCCCCTGTTGCATCGCGAAGTTTGTCGGTGTCCACAAACTCCAGTTTCGACAGAGGGCACGACACTGTTTCGTCGACCGGATCAGACAAGCGGCAACGGCGCATGCGAGACTACTACGCTAGTGTCTTTAATGAAGAAGATCAAGCTGAATTTGAGCGCTTGTTGGTACAATTTCAGGCGGACAACAATTTGACAGATCGATTCATTGAGAAAAAGTCAACGCGTCGTCTCTTCGTTTTTCTCAATCGAGCATGTGAAAAAGCTCTTCCGAATCGGTTTGACCTTGGAAACCGCATTTTGAATCAGTACAGTACTGTGAATGAAGAAGAGCAATTTCAAGCACTGCGAAATCGACAACGGTACACTAAAGGTCGCGTGAATTTTCTCTCGGATGTATGGATGAATACTTCTAAGACTCACTTATTGGGGTGTCAACTGGGATTGTATGGAATTATTTCGAGCTATGGATTATTTCCTACGGGGTCAAGACATGACGGGCTTGCGATCGCCGAACAAATGGAAAAAACAATGAAGGACATAGAAACAAAAGGATGGAATATTGGAGGTGTTGTCACGGACAACGCTGGCCAGTGCGACCGTGCCAGACGGATTTTGGCACTCCGTTGGCCCAATCTTGCGTTCATCCATTGCTTTGCCCACGACTGCAATAATTTGGTTAAAGCTGTGCTGAATTCGTCGTACCAAAAGGTTACCAAGTTGGCTTCACAGATTACGGTAACCTTGAACCAATCGTCATCGAAATGGCTTCCTCGTGCGAAATCTTCTGTTACAACGGTGTATGGAAAAACCCTTGGCTTTATCAACCTATGCGAAACCCGATGGAACAGCATGCAAGGATGTTTTGCATCCCTGCTGCGCATGAAAACTGCTTTAGAGCAGTTTGCAGACGAGTATGAGTCGGATCCAGAGTTTCCGGAGTCGCTTAAGACTCTCAAGGATCCAACGTTTTGGAGTAGGTTAGCGTCGGCTGAAGAAGTAATCCGCCCGCTTTCGAATGCATCTTTCAAACTGCAACGTGATGAAAATACTCTGGCAGATGTAGTAGCATCCTACCGAGACATTTATCGAGGCTTTGTGGGAAATTTGGACAACCTGGAACTGGTATCAATTTTGGAAGGTAGATGGAAGCAGTGCGAACAGCCATTAATGTTGTTGGCAGTTTTCCTGCATCCTCGACACGTCTGCCTGGCTCGAGCAATTATGGATTCGTCACCGCGTTTTCGCCTTTACGAAAGAATATGTGGATACGGTATTTACTATTACCGCAAATACTTTGGTACAGATGATGTTGAAAACTTGGCTGACGAGATGCACCGTTGGAAGCATGGGATATTCTTTGAAAACCCGAGTTTATGTCGTTTCACTGGTGATGTTGGTGGCTTTTGGGCATGCGCAGCAGACATTAGCTTCGGCACCAAACTACCTAAACTGGCCGCAGTCATTTTGTCAATTGCTGTAAACACTGCAACTTGCGAGCGCTACTTTAGTGAGCTTTCCGCTATTCATACTGCAGTCAAGAACAGACTGAGCCCTGAGAAATCTCGGAAGTTTTCACTTGTTCGTAAAGCTGTTCGGCAAATTGATGCTGCTGAAAATGGCCGGGCACAACGTTCTCACCTCAAGCGTATCATAGAGCCCACTGAGAGAAAGTTTGCTGGCAATTGTGCGGCTCCTCCTGATGTAACGCTCACTGAGATTGAAGAAAGTCACATCATCTTGGACCAAGCAGTACCAGACCCCGAGACTCTAGAATACTGGCAAGAGGTATTTGATGTGCTGGAGAGTGATGAAAGTACGGTCAATGACGATGGTAGTACTGAAGAACCTCCGGCAAATGAGGACGACGCTTTTGTGGAAGTAAGCCAAATGGTGTTCAGTGGTGCCGACGAGGCGATACCAGAACCCAACAAGACAGAATTTCCCAACTACAATATGAAGAACTTCCCTCTGGAAAAGAAGCTGACAGGAATTCGCGGACAAAAATTTAGGCTTCAGACGCTTTTTTCTAGTGATAGAACGTTTGGTTTGAGACCGTACTCGGAGTATGCAGAATAGCTCAATACAATGGAACTAGATGCAGCAATCCAAGCATAATTCTTTTATTTTGTTACTAGACGGATCCGTTGCAGCGACCGAGTCACTAGTAGAGAAAGAGAGTAGTCGGCCAGCGCAGGTTGCGGGAACCACACGTCGCCCGAGTAGCCCCGGATGTGACTGCTCTTGACGGCCTTCACCAGCACGTCCTTGTCCACGATCTTGCTGCGCGCCGTGTCGACGATGTACGCGCCCTTCTTCATCTTGCTTAGCAGCTGCGCGTCGGACAGGTTCTCGGTCTCCGAGTACAGCGGATAGTTGATGGACACCATGTCGCACTCCTTCACCATGTTCTCCACCGTCGCGTGGAACATGACGTTCAGCTCGTTCTCCACGTCGGCCGGCAGCCACCTTATCGGTGTAGTGCAGCTGCACGCGGAGACCGATACGTCCGGCAGCCACGACGCCCACGTGCTTGTTCTCCAGGTCATACGCGTGGTTGGTGATGGCTGCGATATTATACTTGCAGTCCACCACCTGCTTGTACGCGGGCATGTAGCTGCGCACGAGCGAGAGGATCATCATGACGACGTGCTCTGCCACGCTCACGATGTTGGAGCCCGTGACCACGGTCATGGTGATGTTGCGGTCGCACGCCACCACCAGGTCCACCTGGTCGGAGCCGATGCCGGCCGTGATGGCCAGCTTGAGCTTGGACGCCTTGGCAACGCGCTCGCGAGTGATGTAGGCCGGCCAGAAGGGCTGCGAGATGACCACGTCGTCGTCGTGCAGATGGCGCGCGAACTCCGAGTCGTTCCCGTCCTTGTCGGACGTCACGACGGACTCGTGGCTGCGGTCCTCGAGGAACTTGCGCAAGCCCAGCTCGTTCTCGACGCAGTCCAGGATGTTGGAATTGCGCTTGCCGGCGTCGCCGCCCTCGGACAGCACGCACACGACCTTCATTTGCTTGGAGTGTAAGTTGCGAAAATGCACGTGGTCACGGCGAGAGGCATCGGTTATACTCGACAATGCTGTCGCTGTTGCGCTAGGTCATCTTGGCCTACGCGGTCTGCTCGGGCATACTGAAACATCCGAGCTTTTGGGGTCCATGTATCGTTGAGATTGACGAGCAACGTGTAAGCCACGACGTCCTTGGCGGCGAGTCTTTCGTCGCAGCGGCTCCTTGCTGGCGGGCTCTGCTGCGTCAATCGTAAGGTGTGGTCGTCCGGATAACAGCCCGTTGTAAACCCTTCCAACCGGATGGAACGGACGAATAAAGCCGCGGCTTTATTGGCTTAAGTCGAATAAAGTCAATTTTGCCGATCGGCAAAATTGACCAATAAAACGATTAAAGTCGAATAAAGCCGCGGCTTTTATCCACACTGTTTGAGCCTCTTGATTCAAATCATCTCGAGCATTTGTGGCGTACAAAGCATGGATTGTAAATGTAGTCGTTTGATTTAAGGTGTCTTAAGTTGAGACTCAACGGTCTTTTTTTTTTTTTTTGCGTAATACCAAACGTAACCAGTCCGGACTAAAATCGCTGTGCTCGTACAACGCACAGGAAAGTACGGGATTCCGACCAACCGTGCCCCAAACTCTGAACTTTCTGTATCACTTCTCGCCGTATCGCAACACTACCAAGTTGGTACGACGTGTTTAAGCCGCTTTACAAAGGATATTTCTTTTAGTTTGTACTGAAATATGTACTGAATTCATTCTTTTTCCTGTTTCCTATTAAGAGCCGGAAGTGTGCAAACATATACTTGAACAAGAGCATGCTTGAGGAGAAAAGAAAGGCGGCGTTCCCGGCCTCAGATCCACCACAACTTTACTCGCATCATGGGGGGGGGGGGTTGCTTGGCGGCGCTGTTAGCTGCTCTGACAGCTCTCCAGTCATGCGTCGTGAGTACCTCGGTGTCTACCGCGTCGGGCATGGTGACTGCCGACT